TCTCACGACCTATCGCAAAATCAACATGAAAAATTCATCCGCATTTATTTTTTGTGTGGAACACAAAAAATCAAATTTCAGTCTTATTTTACATTTTTTTCATTCTTAGGAATGTCTAAATTCAGTTAAACTAGCAATTCCGTATTATATTTATAAATCTTTATAACATTATACAAAAATTAGATTTTTCTTAAAAATTGAAATTTTGCCGGGAATGGGGCTTTAACAACAAACAAAAACTACCAAGAAGAATCTTTCCTCCAGAAACAAACTTCCTTACAACCTCTGCTTAAGATGGTGTGACTAAATTTCTACCACTTGACTTCATATACAATTGTGTAAATATATTTTACCATATATACGCATGAAGGCAATCTACATATAAGACGACACCCAGAGTTTGAGGGACAAACCCCCGTTTCATAGATGGAATTCCTACTTTTTACTGCGTTTTATGGTCTTGATACTGTATCTAGCTGGCTAAAAACCGAGCCATACCACTTCCTTGCATATAAATTCTCTTTCATTATTAATATAGTTTCCTACGGTTTTCTGTATACTAATTTTCATTGAGGCACAAACACAGCAGTGAAATTAGATAGCTTGGTGGTTAAGATGCTAGCTTTCGAATACGAGAGCACAGGGTTCAATTTCTGTTATGAACAGCACTTTTTTCCTACAACCCATCAAAATTTCAATTTCCTAAGCATCATAATGAGACATATTAGTCAATAGCCTTGTATACACGGCAGAAGATCACCAGCAGATGATCGTGTTTATCCGTTGATATAGGTGTTAAGTGGCCGTGTAAATAGAGTTTAACTCCGCATAACGGATCAGTAACCGCGATGATCAACGCAGTTATCTTTGCATCGCAGCGGTGTTAACATAGATCATTGTTGTTTGATCTGTGTGAGTCATTGTTGGAATCACAGCCTGAATAACTTTAATATCATTTGAAAAATTATGTTTTTATCAATTAAATACATTTTAAAAATTTTTGGACAAAGGGTTTTAAAACAAGTAGCAATGCGTGCATTTTTTTCAGGTCAGTTTTAATCATTGACTTCCTAGTAGAACCGATAATTGTTTTATCGTGCAGACGTGCAACTGGAGATCATCGGTGTTACCTATCTGATAGCAAACAGCTGTGTAAACAAGGCTTATGTAGAGCATCTTTTGTGTATGTCTGTCTTGTGAAGGGATTACCACTTACAAAAGTAATTAAAAGTTGTATAAAAAATAATAACCAGAACCAATGGTTTACTTTTTAATTTGGAGGATGAGATAGTTTGAGAAAAAAGCTGCAGTTTGCCAAAAAAATAAGAATAGAACCTCATTTGTCAGATCCATGTGATCTGTCTTTGCTTTGGCTATCCTCTGATTAACATTGCTCATAAAGTTGTTGAAATTGGATCGAAATTCCTCCATATCACGGCTAAGAGCATCCCGTTTTTCCTGAAGTTCAAAACGTTCTTTCCTCTCCTTTGCCAACTGGCTGCGGAAAACGCCAATTTGTTTTTCTAGAAGCTGAACTGTTATTCTGCAAACAAATAATAATTTTGGTGTTAGGTCTCTAATAACATTTTATTTTTCTCCAAATTTATATACTTAGTGGGTTTTTTTTATCTCTTAAGTCTGTCCATATAATCACATTTTCTTTGACAATATCTTACTAATCATGTCCCAAAGTATTAGTTCTAGAAATGGTCAACAAAATCGTTTATTTAACATTATTTTGATAGATAATTCTATAAAACAATGTATGCAAAAATAACTGTAGAAGGAAACGACTCAAAATCATGTTTATCTTGACTCTAAGAGTGCTGTACGTTCACTTTCCAATAACTTGGGCTTGAAATCAATTTCAATGAATTACCCCTCGTTTTAAAGGTTACATATTTGGGTATCTAAAAATACTTTTCATTTGTTTTTAATGTTGCATCTTTGTAACTTGTTTCAGACTGAATTGTTTTTTTGTTATTTATGATGCCAAATAAAGTCAAGTAGTTTAATGTCCTATAATTAATAATTGTATATAATAATAATAATAATAATACTTTGTAAATTTAAAAGAATATTTACATTTTTTATTATTTTTGTATAATAATAAGTAAAATATGTAATAATTATATTTCTATTTATCTTCAGTATTTGTGTAAAATTTAAAATGTTTTGCACTTAAATTTTGTACATTTAAATCATTGTTAAATTCTTAAATTATTTGTTTAATGCTATAATTATATCATTTATATTTCTGTATCTTGTTTTTGTTTGGGACCCCTTCTGAAACAAGCCTACAAGTTTAAAGTGTTATCCTCTGTTATCCATTTTGTCTTACTGTCAATATTTAGCTTTTGAGAAGTGATTTTTCTTTTGCTTTTATAAAATGTAAATTGATTCTTTGTTCTTTGAATGGATAACAATAAATATTATACTGTGTAATATACAGTATAATATTTATACTGTATAGTATACAGTATAAACATTATACTGTATACTATACTAAGTCAAGTGTTAGGGAAGTTCATTAAACTGGATATTGCCCAAGTGGCTTTTCCCAAATTGTGACCCCTGATAAAACAAACAACATAAATGTGATAATCAAATATTATAGACCTAATGTCAACAACCATAGGTCTATAAAATGTGATAATCAAATATTATAGACCTATGGTTGTTGACATTGGACAACATTTTTGAATAACATTTTTATAACTTGTTTTTCTATTTTATGGCAGTAGAAGTTTTGACATTTATATGAATGCCAAAACTATAACAATTTTATTGTTGAAGAATGTTATAAAAGTTTCAAGGCTATATTCAGAGGGTAAAGACCCCCAATATTAACGCACGCAGTCACTGGCGTATGATAATTCACCGACCAATCCCAGCATAATATGCCCCTGAGTTACAACGGTACGGGCAGGATTTTACAAATCACAAAAAGCTTTGCAAAAAGGGTGATTACAAAATTATATATGTGGCAAAGACAAGCCAAACCAGTTGCTCATCGCAAAAATCTTTTTTTAAGTTATTAATACAGCGTTAAACAGTAAAATGAGAGCTATAAAATGGTAAAAGAATCATTTAAATCCGACATTTCGTTATGAAGTTATAGGAGTTTCAATATACGGCTGTTTAAAGAAAAACATTTAAGAAATCAGCCTTCAAAGTTTACAATTTTGGGCATTTCTTATTTTATTTATTTATTTTATTTAAAAGTTGTTGTTTTAACATTGGAAATGGGGAAAATAACAACATAGCACGATGTATAGATATATAAAGGTATAAACAGATTTCCAAAAATTTGATATTCCATCACATTTTGACCATTATCTCTGAAAAAGGATTTGCGACGAGTGACTGGTTTGGCTTGTCTTTGCTATCCATTTCAAGTTAGTTACGCCATGGAGTAACATACACCCGATGTTGATTACTTATAATATATAGCCTCAGTAATCTAGTAAAACACAATTTGAGGACTAACTGATGGTTCTCATCTAATTGTTCCATTTGTGACTCCATCATGTCATTCTCTTGCTTCATTCTTGCTGTCTGATTTGCTTTCTCCATCAATTCAGATTTCTTACTTTGTAATCTAGTGAATAAAAAGACAATGGAAATAACGTTAACAAACCACTTGAAACACCAACCTATTGTTCCACATATTAGAAAACTATTTTACAAAAAAGGATGCTATAAAATAGTAAGTCATGCGACCAGAAAAACCTAAAAACAACAGAAATAATAAAATATTTGCATTCTGCAATACCTGCATTTTCTCAGAATTTGAAGAAAAATAAAGAAATAATAAAGATATATTACAGAATAAATAATTGTAAATGGAGTGAAATAAACAATAATAAAATGTAGAGTCATCAGTCATGGTAAACATTGAACAGGATTACTTCAAATGCATACAATTATGAGCTACAGTATACAATGCAGATAAAATATTTTAATTAAAATGAAAAATTTGATGTTGAGATCTTTTACTCATATTGGATTTTATTAAGGCTAAGCTTTCACCCTTGCAACTCGACTCAAAAACTCCACTCAACTGACCTCAACCTGTAGCCAGTAGTGCTCGACTTTCACTTGGAACTTCGCAACCGCAATCATCTGAAAGCAACTGGTTGCAACGAGGGCTTATGTCGCTTCCGACTGTATAATAAATTGATACAATTTTAGCGTGCAATACTGTCACATGACCAATCAATCGCATGTCGTCAGTTGCTTGCAAAATAGAACATGAGCAACTGAAAGCAACTGAGAGCTCAGAGCACTCACGTCACCTCGAATCGTGTGACTCACACTTGGCCGCCAGTTGATGTCAGTTGAGTTGAGTCGAGTCGCAAGGTCGACATAAGCTTAGCTTAAGATTCTGCCCTTGTGCTAAGCACTTTACACTCATGTTTGCTATTCCAATTAGATTCCAAGAAAGCTTTCCCCTCCCACCTCCACCACCAAAAAAAAAAAAAAAAAATACAATGGAAATTTATATCTATTACTCACGCATCATCAAGCTCCTTAACTTTGAGGCCCTCTCGCTTTAGAATATCACCAGCTGTTGCCTCATCTGTGGAGGAATTAGATTAATTTGGTACATTTTTTATAAAAATATTACTAACACATCTGTTTATCTTGCATATAAGAACACAGTATTTGTAATTAGAAGTAGGGCACTTTAGCCATTAGTGTACTCCCATTTATGTAAGTTGCCAAAGCTGTCAGAAAAGTATATAATAATGTCATACAAAACATTTCACAAAATATGTACTGTTTCCTAATATATTAGGCTTGGTGATTCAGCATATTGTATTCTATGGTTTTTCTTGTTTTGCTTGTGTAAACAAACGATTTCAGGCTGCAAGCTGCTTGTTGAAGTTATTTTATATACCTCAATATAAAATAATAAATAAATAATTAAATAAATAATATGTTGGTTTAATAATATGTTGGTTTGTTTAACCAGTTAAATGGTTAAACAAAAGATTAAATAATATGTTGGTTTGTTTAACCAGTTAAATGGTTAAACAAAAAATTAAAAAATTATCAAAAAATACCTCTACAACCAGATGAATTTATTCAAAGGTAATAAGTTAGATTTATATAGCGCTTAATGCTAAGGCCTCTAAATGCTTCAAATTACAACACCCCACTATTATTTTTTTGTTACAAAACTTGGCCTCATGAAATGAAAGACAACAGCTTTGCTGGTACAGTAGATAATATTGAACTCATTAAATAACATTTGACAGTTGATGACTCTAACTGTTCCATATTGCCCATAAAATCATCACTGATGATGACATAAATAATGTCAAAATTTTGAATCCTGACAAGATGGGATGCATCTCGATACTTGGAGTATGTATTATACTATCTTATACATTATATCATGATAAAGAAAATAAAAAAGAGGTAAAATGAAGCGGTAGAAACCACTAAAATGGAACTAGATGTATAGTGCACTACCATGGAAATTTTTGGTTCCTGGTTCAAATTCATCATTGCTCTTTTTGTATTCTACCTGGGAGGAGGGGAAAAAAATTAGACTAAAATTCCAGCACCTTTTTTGAACAGCATTTAGAGTAGAGGTTGGTTTATCATGCCATGTACACACCATGAAAACCAACTTTTTACATACTTACTAGTTCATGTACCTCTTTTCTTTCTTGTAAACTCATATAAATATATATTGCAAATCCATGAATGTTTATGGTGAAATTAAACCAAATATTATTACTGGTTAACCTCAATAACAAAATTACATTCAGATTAAAGCTACAAATGTTATTTTATGTCTTTAAGTCATACTTTTAATTTTGTAATTCATTTGCAAGTTTTTCCATTATAAACTTGAAACAGTCAGTCTTGGAGTATATTGACATGGTGGAGGCAAATGGGGTTGGAGTGCAAAGGTTAAATTAAGGGGATCAATGATTAAGATAAGAAGTATTACTTGGCAAAATATTGTGATTTATTTAGTTACTGGATCATGTTGCTCTTTGCTTTCTTGGAAACTCATATAAATATATTATTGCAACATGAATGTTTACGGTGAAATTAAACCAAATATTACTGGTTAAGCTCTTAACGAAAATAAATTCAGATTATAGCTACAAACATTATCTGATGTCAAGTCATATTTTTAATTTTTTATTTCATTTGCAAGGTTTTCATTAGAAACTGCAAGTCAGTCAGTCCTGGAGTACTGACATGGTGGAGGGAAATGGGGTTGGGTGCAAGGTTAAATGAAGAAGATCAATGATTAAGTTTGAAAGTGTTACCTGGCAAAATAATGTGATTTCTAACTACTTAAGAGTAATTTTTTTGTTCAGCAAATTTCAAGCAGGGGTTTTTGGTGGTGCAAGCTTTTTTTGTACATGAAACCACCCCCCCCCCAACTTCTTCCCCATAGATACACCACTGACTACAATAACAAGTGACTCACCTACTCGAAGGTCATCCCATTCTTCATTCAGTTTGTCATAACCAACTTTTGTTTGGGCAATTTCAGATTGGAGCTACAAAAATGACACAAAATAAAAGGTATTTTGATTAAATGATGATGATTAAAGGGCCAGTTCTCTGGTGAGGTCTTAATGTAATAATAATAATATTTTATATTTATAAGCGCTTAATGCCAACAAGGCCTCTAAGTGCTTTACATTACTACCCCCAGTCATTGGATTAGACGCCTATGGAACGAACACGAATTGTTTGTTAAAGTTGCAGCAGCTACATCAGCGCACATTAGCATTTAACCCTACCAGGTACCCATTTATACTCCTGGGTGAAGAGAAGCAATGTGGATAAAGTGCCTTGCCCAAGGACTCAAGCGAAATGCACAGCGGGGGGATTGAAACCATTGAGACCCCGAGGTTGGGAAACCAAACCGTTCCCACTGCGCCAAACCACTTCTGCAGTAAAGACTTTAAAAAAATTGTTCTTTAAAATACCGTATTTATATTTTTTTGGCTCATGATCATAACCACATGTGCAGAAATAGAGGGGAAAATGATGGGATACAGATGTTTTAAATAATTGTGTTACATTAAGGGTTGACATTCAAAAGTTCTTGGAGGTATTCGATCAATCAACTAATCAATGTATTTTATATTTCACTTGCATCAATAAATAGTCATCAAAATATGCAAATTCAGAGAGCCAGTAAGCTTGGTACTGAGTATTGTGTTAGCTAATATAGAACACTGCTCAATTATTCATTCATTTACAAAGCATTTCAACCATTTAAAAAAAGGACAATATTTTTCTACAAGAGAATTGTTAAGATTACGTTTAAATCTTGCAAGGCCTGAAGACTGCCGGTATTTAGGACCAGTACAAAAAGTTTTTTCATTTTATCTCATTTTATTCGAAATTCATATTATAATCAAAATTCCAAGGATAAAAAACACAACAAAGTATACGTAAAGGTCAACTTATTTCCATTTAAAGGTGGAAATGGTGTTGAGGGTGCAAGTCAATGAGTATTTGACATAGATCGAAGAGCTTGTTTTAGAAGCAGAACAATTTTTTAAAGATGTTCTTGGGACGCCATCATCTAGACAAGACGACCATAATTTAAGTACAACAATACCTGTGCCATGTTTACATCATGTTCTATTTTCTTGCTCTCATATCTGTTAGTTAATTTCAACTGCATAGCAGCAAGATCTTCTCTGTAAATATAACAAAGAAAATTATTATTTATCAAACAAAAACTGAATTTAAAAGATGATGATGATGGTGTTGATGATTTTGATGATGCTCGATGAAGATGATGATAATGAAGAAGAAGAAGATGATGATGATGATGATGATGATGATGATGCTGATGATGATAGTGATGATGGGGATGATGATGATAATGATGGTGCTAATGGTGATTGAAAAATAATGACAATAAATTCTTAAAACTGCTAAGTAGTGTATTACACTGAAATTACTATTATCCGATATAAATACATATTATGATATTATGTTATTTTACATAGTAATATTATTATACTAATATAGTATATTATTATATTATATAAATAATAAATACTCATTTTTTTGAAGGAAGACAAATTGGAGGACAAATTATATTAAGAATAATAACACCAACTATTACAGTAATTACCCTTTCTGAACCAGTTCTTTGTTTTCTTTCAGTTCATTGCTTAATTGCTCTAAAAAAGTATTTTCTTGATCTTCCAAGCGTGCTCGAGATGTTTCGTATCGCCTTATGCTCTACAAAGACAGACATGACACTATCAGATAAAATATAACTGAACCATTAAAATTATCTTTACAACATACAATAGAGTTAAAAGGTTATCTAAAAGTCTGTAATTAATTTGCTGTGAAAATATGGACAAATTAATAATACCCATTTATTTTATGAAAAGCAAAATAGAATACGCCTTCATCTATTAAGAAGGGTGATTGTGCTCCCTTATAAGAAGGGTGAACATGAAGGGTGTTGTGATTGTGTTTTTGTGCTCCTTAAGCCGGTTTTACACTAGGCGAATTTATTTGTGCGAATCAAAACTGCCGGTTTGCTTCCTGATCTCTGATTGTTTGCACATCTAGCAAAAAGTAGAAACATTTTGAACTACTGATTTCGCTAAACTGGGGCGGATGCAGGATTTGGCGGTAAGGGGTGCGTGAGGATCCACCTCACTGCCTCCACCATGGCTGGGGCTGAGGGCAGAACATTTTGAGAATAGGGTGCTCTCAGACGCGGATCCAGAATTTTAGCTCAGTTTCAATAGAATCGTTCACACCATCGGCGACCGTCGCCGACAGTTTGTCGGGAAGGTTGAACCCAATAGGTTGAGCGATTTTATGGAAACCGAGCTTTACCCTATCGCATACAATAGAAAACGCATTTGAATGCAGATTTTTCGTCTGGAATAATTTGGCAATCGCCCCTTATATAATCAGTACATTCTCTGTCATGAAAATATTATAAATTATGTTATATGCATGCACGTTTGATATATGTTTCATGTTGTTTGTTGAATGGTCTTTAATGATACTACATTCTAATGTGACCAGAACATAAGAAAAAACACATTTTCACCTTCAATTGTACTTTCAAATATACATTTATATTTCCTTAGGCCTAAATCATAAGGAAGTCTGCTCTAAATCCCAATTTTAGGAAATTATATGTTATATGCATCCAACGACATGGGAATTTTGTTTTATGTTGTTTGTTGAATGGTCTTCTTTTAAAATATCAGTCTAATACGACCACAACATAAGGAAATCCATTCTTAAAATGTTTAATAGTACAGAGAATTATGATTGGTTATCAAAATCAATTCACATGTTAGATCCCATATAAAAAAAAAAAAATGTTTTCTGTGCATGTGCTGACGTGAAAAGACTAATCTAATAATCTTGTTAATATTAGTTCTAAAATTCATCTTATGACCACAACATTTAAGTTGTAAGTTCTTCTTACATGAAAAATAATAATGCAATTTTATTGTACCGCCACCAGCTGGGAAAGTAATTAAATATGCATAAATGTCTTCTGTGATTGGTTGATTGCCAACATTTCAATGCTTATTGGAGGTTGGTGGGTGGATGGATATAATGCTTAACTCTCACAATGTTTTCATATTTCGAAAAAATGTTTGGAGTATATGATCACGTCCCATGAAAGATTACATCCACAGGGTGCTCCTTAACAAAAATCACAAAAATGGATATATTGTGTTTTTCGGAATCACGACAGACGGAGTAGATAATGTTAAATCTGGTTAAAATGTAAAAATTTAAGATTTTATTTTTAAATGACAGAAAATCAGCACATTCTCGACTGTCTTGGAAATGTGGACCTTGTTAAATTTGGTTGGGTGCGTTATTCACACTCTAAACACCCCACCTGGATATACGGGCGTGAAAACTTTACATTTTACTTGCCAATTAATAAAGTATTATACACTTATTAGATATCTTCTCAATTTCTCAGTATTTTTTTTTTAAATTCTTTTTCCACTTCCAATGCTGCTTGATTTGAAATTTACATACCATTCATGCCGTTGCTCCTATACAGATTCCATGTTCATTCTCAGTCTCTCGGTGGTCATTTTTGACTTTTTTTGGATGTACTGTATCAAAGTGTGTTCGTAAGTTTTACGATTTAGAGATCTACAATTAAGCTACCAACTCCGGTTGTTTTTTTGTTTTTTGTTTTTTTCATATTAATAATAAAAGAACTCAACAGTGTACGTTATTGCGCAGCTGTTTTTAATTACAGTCCCTCTTTGATTAATACTTAGACAATGCAAAAAGTTTATCTTGTCTATATTTTTGGTTTAGGTAGGTGGCATTTCTGAAAGAAAGAGTTGGAATTCGCCGGACCACCAGACACTGCTATCACTTTATATTGGAGAACGGTGCGAGGGTCTGGATCTGGGCCTGCCTCTGGTGCCCTAAAATTGCACTCTCATACTTCACAACAATACAATATTTTTCTTTATACAATTTAGAGTGTGGTTGGGGGGATGGGTGCAATCGCACCGTCTGCATTCCCTATGCATCCACCCCAGCTGAAGCGAAAAATACCCGATAAATTTTTAATGAGCATGCTCATGAACGAGCAAATAAATTTTCTAAGCGTAAAACCTGCTTTAAATTGCTCCTTCTAGATTTAAGATTCCATTGAGAAAAAAAAAAATTACATAATACAGTACTACTACTAAATTCAGACAAAATTCTCAAACCCCTGAACACTTATCTATAGATGCCTAATTTCGTAGATGTAGCCCTAGTGCACCGTTTTGAGACTGGGATTTTAAACTTAGATAATAACAACAATGCAAAAAGAAACAGATAAATATTACAAAAATATTGTAATTGAACACTGATGATGTATAGCCACATTGTACTTTATTGTATCATTGCAAAATGAACAAAAATGCATGCAGATTGGTGGCCTCATTGTTAAAATAACATAGTTTTCATAATAACCATAACATTATGCGACAGAATAGATCTAGCTGGTTTTTTTTGTCATTTTAAGACCCACCAATATATCCACACTTTATAAGTAATCAGATGTGTATAAGAGACAGAATTTAGACTGACAACCCAGTTAAGAAATTCAGACAAAATTCTCAAGCCCCTGAACCCTTATCTACAGATGCCTAATTTCGTAGATGTAGCCCTAGTGCACCGTTTTGAGACTGGGATTTTAAACTTAGATAATAACAACAATGCAAAAAGAAACAGATAAATATTACAAAAATATTGTAATTGAACACTGATGATGTATAGCCACATTGTACTTTACTGTATCATTGCAAAATGAACAAAAATGCATGCAGATTGGTGGCCTCATTGTTAAAATAACATAGTTTTCATAATAACCATAACATTATGCGACAGAATAGATCTAGCTGGTTTTTTTGTCATTTTAAGACCCACCAATATATCCACACTAGACTACTACTTTTAACCAATTTACGATGACCTTACAAACCTAAAACACAAAGGTTAGCAATATTGTAGATCTGGTGGTACATCTGTAGTTAGTTTTGAGTGAGTTATAGTTGTTTTATGGCACAAAGTTTAAATATTACTGTTTTCTATATGAACTCAAACTAGTTCTGATGAGAGCAAGTCCACAATTCAACAACATGATTTCAAGGTCAGGTGTCAAACTCAAAATTGTTTTTTTTTTAAATTGAAATATGAAATATAACGTCTCAGTTTCAATGTTCATGGATAAGGTACTTACAGGGACACAAAAAAGTGGCCAACTTCAAACAGAAAGCTTGATTTTTTTTTAATAGACACAATAGGGGTGCCAGGAAGGTCCAGTGGCTTATAGAATCAGCAAGAGAATAAGCCAAATATTCCAGCAAGGAATACTGCTTTTTAAAAAAATTTTAGAATCTGACAATACCATTTCAGGGGATTTTTAGGGTGCCTATTTTTAATCAGTTTTTCAAAACCATGGTGGAGCTGTGGTTGATTTGAACCCATCCAGGATATTAGACCTCAAATCTGGAGGCTTAAAGCCCTATCGGGAAGCTTGCACACCTCATTAAGGAATTTACAGTTCTGCCCCTGAATTGAGAAACATATAAAATCTTATAAAGATCATATAGAATTCCTATAAGATTGTATAGGACTTTTTTGTAACATCCTGAATGCTTTCTCAACCACATACATACCTTACGTATATCTGACAACTGGCTTTCACTTATCTGAAGCTCATCTTGCAGGTGATCTAATTCTTTCTTCTTGGCAATGTTTGCTTCTTTTTGCTTCTTGGTTCTTTTCGTTGTGTCATGCTAAATAAGAAATAATACTGAACTAGAATTTAATGGAACATAGTTTATATACCCAATTCACATGAGACAGATGCATTTACATGTTACACAGCAGGCCTAGAAAAAAAATGTTTGTGCCTCTGCCTATGAAACTTGTCTCGATAAAATTTCTCCAGCACCGAATTTTATATTTACGCTATACTGTAGCCCAACAATTCTTTGGAGTGTTTGTATATTACCTAACATCTGAAATATCCACAACAACTTTTTACTTGCTTTGGAAAAATTCAGGTATGAAAAGACTCAAAAACAAATAAAATTAATGGATTCCCTAGATGAATTATCTAGTGCCTAAAACTCTGTCCCTCTATCCCATATCACCATGCATTTCACCTCATTAACATTCATTTGCTTCTGTTTTCAATTTGTCTTGGTATTACTATAAAAAGTAAGTTTAAACAATGGTTGAATAAAGAAAAATTGTTGACCCGTACATGTGTCAAAAACATCATGTGTCATGTGAAGATTAATCAGCTTTACAAGCAGCTTCCAGGGTCCCCAGTTAGGTGACTTTCGAAAAACCTGATTTAAAAAAAGTTTTGTAACAAATTTCAATTAGATTTTAAATGCGTGCGGTAATACACATGGACAGCTGACTTCACAGAGACAATAGGGAGTTTAGATTAGCGCAACAACACAACTCCAGAAAGGGTTCACTCATGCTTGACTGTCCTAAGTTCTCTGCACAACATCGATTTGGTCAAACTGCATCCTAGAACTTGACGTTCTCGCATCAACATATATTAGTAACGTCATTATGTTCTAGATTCTACTACGTCATGCAAAACGCTCACTATTTAAAAATAAATGCGAACGATAAACTAGCCTGTTTATAAGTAATCATTATTTGAGGGAAATATTTTTGCTTTCTTGTGGAAGTGTGCGGGAGACTGTGAGAATTAGCGGAGATACTACAGCAATTTGCGAGAGACTTCAGACGCTTGAGTTCCACAACTACCTCTGCCAAGGAGGTTATGTATTCATTATTGTTTGTCAGTTTGTCTGTTAATAGCAGGATTGCAAAAACTAGTAAATGGATCATCATGGAATTTTGTTGAGTGTTTATATACTGATCTAAAGAAAGAGGTGATTAAAGTTTGAGATGAAAAAGTCAAAGGTCATGTCCAAGGTCACAAGCATTAAAAAAATATAGGAATTAACCACAAACACCCTGAGTACATTTTTATGTATTCAAAAACGGGGTGGAGGTAGATGCACTCTATGGAGTGACTGCACTTTTTTACTGTTATGTAAAAATCATTGACAGAAATTTTGAGTGATCATGGTATTTAAAATTATAGAGGCATAAAACAACATTCTTTTTTAACGATGTACATGTTTTAGGAAGACATTACTTTTTAGTGACTATTGTAAGATATGTACAAATACAGTACAATATATTGATTTAATGCGATGCCTAAATGTTTAGAAAGTCGATAAATGTATTTATGTGGCAATGCTGGCCTCATGATTGTAAATTTTTTTTAATTGGAAAAAAAAAAGGGGGGGGGGAGTAAAAGTGAATTGCATTCCACCAATTTAGACCAACCCACCACCCCGCCCCCCCTCCCCAACAGGTAGTATGGATCCTTGATTTTCCTTTCCAGGCCTCCCTTATTTCCAAATTCATGCCCCTCCTCCCTCCTGTCTTGTGGATCTGTCACTGGGTTGACTTACCACAGCTTGTTTCAGCCTCTTTTTCTCCTGCCTGGCATCAGCTCGTTCTTGTATCATGTCTTCCCTTAGGATAATAATCCCCGTCTCGAGGTCAACGATCTGTGCAAGAATTAGAAAGATTGTAAAAACTAGTACAGTAGATTTGCCAATCACACTGAATGAATTGAAAGGCTTTGAACAGTATGAATTAACATAACCATGGAGAAGTTTACATCTTTTGGAAATGTTTGCCCCAATCACCCTCCCTGTAGGTACACCACTGGTCTTTGTCACAGTGATTTATCTCATGGCCATTGTCACAAAATCATCAGTTTGTATTGTATCGTTGTACCATTTGTATTGTATTGGCAACATGCATAATTATGGGTAACTAATATGTAAATGAGATGGTACATAATGTTTTGTAGCCAGATGAATCGTTCTCTCGTCCAGTGTCGCTTGTCAAGCAAGCACATTGCGTTCCTGCTGTTGTGTTGCGAGGTGTAGAATAACAATGTGGTTGTGGATCCAATGCTAGTTGCTTGCAGTAATTATCGTGTGGTATAATTCTGAATTAGACACTGAAGCATTCCTCTGAGCTAGCTGTTGTGTACGATGAGTACTTTGTAATAGGTTATGCCTAATAGTTGCATACATCGTATTTAATGTTATTAATACCAATCATTAAAATATCCCACATGAAGCTGTGTTAATGGATGTCATGTAGTTGCTGTATCTATACAGTTTGGTCTTGGCTGAAGATGGAGTTCGCGACCAGGTCTGGAAAAAAATTGACTGTGCCTCCGACCATGAAAATTATCTTGATCAAATGTCTCCAGGACCAAATGTTATCTTTACACTATTATAGCAAAATAGTAGTACATATATAAAAATATTATATATGCATTAAATTGTAATGTGTAAAAAAAAAAAAATTTTTTTTCTAAAATGCCTCCAGGTTAAAGGTCAATGCACTCAACCATCGGTCGCGCACTTTTTCCAGTTTCAGTTTCAATTTATTTATTGACCAACAAGGTCGGGGGCAGCTTAGAAAGTCAGCTGCCCCCTCCAGACCCGTTCACGACATAGAGCAGCAATGCAGCGATCAGATAAACTGTTAGGTGTCAGCGTAGGGGAGAGATGCACTGAGTTTGGGGTCCAGTCTGCAGTGGTGAAAGGTTTTGATTATTTTGTTTGTATTTATCATGTTGTACTCGCGAGTCTATTGATTGAAATAATTTGATGGATATACATGATTAAAGTTTGTGAGTGAAATATAAATTCTATTTTTGTCCTAGTGTGATATTGGCCTATGTTGGGAGATCTAGCCACATGACAGCTGCCATTTTTTTATTCAACCTTTAGAAATGCCGGAAAGCTAGTAACACGGATACTACAGTAGACCTTGATCTGGCCACATAACTACACTTTATAATTACTTTATAATCACCATTACTTGGTCACGTTCTATCAACTATAAAAGCCTTCTTTCTTTTTTATTTTGTATATTTAAGAGGATAAATACAGTTTCATTATTTTATTGCTATTGGGTCCTAAATATTGTGTACGGTATGCTGGTATATTTGTGCATGTATTGTGGTTGCTTGTACATGGATTCTGCAAATGGGCCTCATCTTTGCTTTAACAATGGAGGAATGTGTTATGTAAAGCTAGCAAGCATTTATATAGCGCCATTTCTTTTGATTGCTTTCTATTCCTGGTCATGGGGTCAACATGCTAAAGAGTTGCTGCCATATTTGCACAGTAGCAGGTAACCCTACCTGATAAAAATTTATGTTCCTGAGGGGAGAGAAGCAATAAGATTAAATGCCTTGCTTGAGTAAAACCAAAATCTAGAGGTTTGGAAATATTATATAATAATTCTGAAGGCACTATGGGAAATAAAGAAAGGGGATATAACAACGGTGAAAACTTATAAAGCATTTTTAAGACACTGTGCATGTGCATTGAGTTATGTTGTTAAACTATAGCAAGCATTTATATAGCGTCTTTCCTTTTGGTTACAAAACGGTTCATTTGTTCAACATGTATCTGCACGGGGTAGCAGGTGACCATTATCTGGACACCCATACTCCTGGATGAAGAGAAGAGATGCTGATACAAGTGCCTAGCTCAACAAAATTAGAGACTAAAACCAAACCAAACTTCTACACGTGCGCAAACAACTTATTCCATCACATGCCTTTACTGACATTTCAAATCCTATTGCGAGCAGACCTCTGCGAGGGGGGATGTTCCTATGCAGCCATATTGTCAATATATTATTCTATTTGTAATGATGTAAATAGAAATAAGGAAACAAACAAAACAGATCCAGGACTTTTTTTTAAAGAGAGCTCAAATATATATATTTTTAAATTCTTAATTCAGGAGAAATGTTAGGGACTACAATGTTCTCTAATCTAAAGCAATAGTTGTTGCATTTGGAAAGGTCAAAGAAATTAATCTAGTTTCCATTAAAATAGACAATCAATAATCCACTGTACCATATAAAGCTGGATTATTGGAGTCTTGGATGGAGAGGGGAAACAAAGTTTTTCTGTATTGCTTTAATACTTATCCAAAAATATTTTCAAGCAATAGGGCACAATTCCATGACCAATACTACAAAACCAACAGGTGTTTGTAATTAAGTTTGCTTGTTTACAAATTTTCAACAAATTTGATGACGTGAGCATCACAGATGTACAGACACACATGCATGAGCGACTGCAAAGTTTCCTACTCCTTTGCAGCATAGGAACCAAAAACAAGTTTTAAAGGCATGATGGGAACTGAAGACTAGACTTTAAGAGATAACAAGATGAATGACAACATACAGCAATCTTTGTCAAGTCGTTCGGGTGCTGTTTTGGAAAATAGAATCCTCAGGAGTAATAACAAAATTTATATACTCAGTCTTAATCTCTTTCCAGACTATCAAATTTGTATGCCCATATATGGTAATGATATGCCTATATATGGTTATGATGCTATGTCATCATTACCATATTTAGGCATGTCACTTATTTTTGTCAAATAAAATTTGATAGTCTGGACAGAGCTTTAGATCTACTATAGCCAGTGAGCAACCAAGTTGTTTGTTACGGGTATGCCATTGCCGGGGCGGATTTGGGGGGGGGCAGCCTGGCTCCTGCCCCCCCCACCTTTTGGGAGGTAAAAAAAAGGAAGAAAAAGAAAAAAAAAATGATAGCCCACAACGCCTCAAATATTATTTTCAGGCATCTAGAACACAGGAGAGCGTCGTCTCGATTGGCCCAACTCTCGGCTCCCCCTTTTGGACATCTCTGGATCCGCCCCTGATTGCCCTACAGTATTACTTGCAGTGTCATAATATAAACAGGTTTGTTTGATCTTTTTGCACACAAGCTGCAAAACAAACTGAACACTAGTAGAAATTAGTGTCGAATAGGGTATGAGAAAATTATTTGAAATGTAAAATGATGACATAACTTGACCTAATAATATGCTTCTAATTTGTTAACATCATTTTACAGTACATACCTTCTGATTCGTATCTCTCAATTGGTCTCTTGTTTCATTCAGTGTGATCTGTTTACTGTAAAATAAGCAATGATTTATTAAGAGACATGGCACAATGGTATAAGTGTTGGGACTTAAATCTAAAGATCATGAGTCCAATTCTTCAATAAGTCACTTACACAGGTTAAAATCAATACGCACAAGTCGAAAGCAAGGAATCAGCGGCGTATATAAGAGACTTGAAATGGGGGAAATGATGGGGCGCAAAGATGAAGTGGTAGGCTCGATAATTATGTGAGGGGCCGGGCGCTAGCTCACAAAATATGGTGATTTTCTTGCCTTGAATGTGCACATTCCCTTATATTCACACACCCCCTACATACAGTACCTAGATAGGCAACTGCAAAGAATGCTAAATCACGAGGGGAACAATATGGCCTTTGCCAAAGAGGGGATAAATCAATGGACACTTTGGGCCACAACATAAGATAAAGCTTCAACAGAACCATAATCCATTCAAATTTATTACTAATCCATCAAAAAAAAGTTTGAAGCCCAAGTCAAAGGTTTTCTGGAAAGCTCCTAGATCCTTGGTTACCCTTAAGTTTATATACCTTATAAATAGAATATATGTAGACATCACAAGTTACAAAAATGAGTAATATGTAGTATGTGTACTACATATAGTACAATAATTCTTTATTAATGCAAAATAATGTTTTATTATAAGACGATACACAGAATTTGTAAATAGTGAGGGCAAACAATAGTAAATATGATATAGATTATATTTCCAATATCTATTGATACATTTATTGACTGAATTGACTGATTGCGTGATCACTGAATGAATGGCCATTAAATGATTGGTTGATTGATTGACATATTGTCAATACATCTATTTTTGTTATTTACAATATAATATAATTAAAAATAATAGTGATTACATAAAAAAAAATTACATTTACATATTGAAATGAAACAAGCAAATAAGGAAGCAACAAAGTATTAAGCTCTAACACCGGTATTCTTAAAATGAACTTTAGTCGTAGTTCGAGCTAAAACTTTAAAATTACGTCACTTCGTATTCTTAAAACGAACTTCGACTAGCACTACGACTAAATGATGTGAACCTCGACTAAAATGATACCTCCGCAGGCCGATTTTTTTAGTCAGCCTAGGGTCAGGCTAAATCGCCGACTTGAAATATTTACCCCACTAAAAACGTGTTTTTTGTAACTCACGATAAAGTGAAACAAATAAAAACGATTGTATACGCAGGTTTGATATATCTTCGGTGCGTTAAACAAGAGAGACATCAAGTTTAGCTTCCAGAAGGAGAAATTAACATGTTTTGCTGGCCACATGCGATAATTCCTGATTTGCACGAAATCCCCTCGCGTTGCGATCACGTAGCTTTAAATGATGATGTATCTGTCTCACTAACCGTATGCATTCGTGTGCGAAACCTCCCTAGTTCTATTGATGAAGAAATTGATGTTAATCATATTTGTACGCTATTATTATTTTCAACAATTGTATAAGCCTTACCAAATCTTTAATCGCTTGTGAGATATTATGCAATATTTCTACATCACTGTCTTGAAATGAGTACTGCGTTGATCTCATCCGATCACCTTAGTAAAGAAAAGGAAAGTATGAGAAATTTCATTTTAAAAAATCTGAATATTTACTATCAACTCTTTATACTTTTATATAATAAATTGCCACTAGTAAATCTGTCTCTTATACAGGCAGAAAATTGTATAAAAGACAACAACCACACCTAGCCTTGTCTGCCATTCGCTGGTTAAGTTGAGAAATAACTTCTTCATGTTGTTGACGTACCATGTCACGTTCTGGACTGTTTTGAACAAAAAAGAATTAAAATGATAATAAAATAATTTTTTTTTTAAATTTAAAATGTTAATCTGATTAAATATATTCTGAAAATTTAAGCTGTCAGTGTTCGATGTATCTTGGTGTGTGGGATGAGGTTGTAAGTGGTCGAGTTCTCTGAAAAATATTGTGTTGAGTATTTTTTTTTCACTCTTTTCACTTATAGTTGACAAGTATGCCATCTGAGACACTGCAGATTGCTAAAAGCATTTATTGGTGTGCTCTGAGTTTGGATGTAGGTCTTTGTCTGTTTTGGTGTGTGCATCTTTTTGTATGTGTGCAAAATTTCTTCCTGTTCTTTAGCTTAAAAAGACATCGTCTTACTGGAGAATAGCATTTTCTTTGCTCAGTTTTTTCTGTTTGTCTTCAAGAAAGACAATGCTATCATTCAAACTCTTAAGCTCATCCTGAAAAAACAAATTAAGAAGATAAAACAATTATGATAAATTATACAATTAAATTATAAACTGGTAAAATTCTTTAAAAGGAACAACTTTAATCTTACTATTAAATTAATATTCAAGAGCAAAAACATAAATTTCCAATACCATACTGTGTAACTATGATATTGAAATCTTACAAGAGTTGTGGATTGATGGTGATAAGGCGAGACATTTTTTTAAACCTAGTTTCGTGGTCAGGAGGGTGAAAAAAAAATTTTTGCCAAAAACATACAGATGAAGAAAATTAAAAAAAAATTTTTAATGGTAAATGTAAACAGTTTAGTAAAGGGATGGTTAAATTCTTTAAATATATAATTAGAAAGAAATATACATACCATATTTTTGGAGATTTCAAGGCAAAGGCAGGCGTAATAAAAATAAAGAAAATCTGAAATTTCTATTTTTTCGTGGCGACGGGTGCGATAATTGGCCAAAAGTAAAATTTTGTTATTCATCATTATTGGCGGGTGGGGTGGTTCAATAAACAAGGTATAAAAAAGTCTCACCTAAATTATAAAATACTGTAGCTCCATGATCCAGCCAGAAAATCACTTTAAGGCCTTGAATGATCAACAACATATCTACACAGCAGGAATAATTTATCTATTTACATGGAGCTTGTTCTTACAAATAATCCATGATGAGCAAATATGGCCAATAACACAACAAGAATGTGACCGGCCCAATCATCATTACCATCACTATCATCGTTATCAATATTGTTGCTATCATTACTATTACCATTACTTTCATTATCGCCACTATCATCACTGTCATCCTTATCACTATTGTCGATCATCACTCTTGTTGTTATCATCACTATTGTTGTTATCATAACAATCGTCGTTATGATCACTATGTACTTATCATCACTCTCATCATCATCATCATCACTATCAACATTAATCTCAATATTGTCATTTTCATTACCTGTAGACTTTTGAGTTCTTCAGCATTAGAAAACCTTGCAGATTCCACAGCATCGGTTATCTCCTTCTTAATTTCTTCCGGGAAAAACTGCAACTTATTTCTCAGCAAGCTAGCAGCTATAGTCTCCGTCTCGAGTAAATTGTGAACCTTTACACGTTCATTATCCTAACAAAAATAATTTTAAAAAATGATTGACAAAGAACACTGTAGGTTAATATAGCTACAGTAGAACCTCCTCCTTTTGGACAACCCTATTAAGAAGACACCCCTATAAGGGATACCACTATTAAGGGGACACCCCTATTAACACTTTGGCCAACCCTACTCAGGGGACACACCTATTAAGGAAACACTTTTTTTCAGCCACAAAACCAGGGAAAGTATAACTTTTAACACTATGGCCAGCCCCTATTCAGAGGACTCCCCTATTAAGGAAACACTTTTTCAGCCACAAAACCACGGAAAGTATAACTTTTAACAGTATGGCCAGCCCCTATTCAGGGGACTCCCCTATTAAGGGGACACTTTTTTCGGTCCTAAATGTGTCCCCTGAAGCCTGGTTTCCATAAAATCGCTACTCTTTCGCTACAGTGTTTTCAGTGCATAACATAGCAGTCCAGGATGCAATCGGAAAAAGGCTCCCCGCATGTAGCAATTGAATGGAAACCAATCTTTAATAGGAGTTCTATTGTATAATATTACAAACTTTTTACAATTTCCAAATAAAAATTGTCAATAAAACAATAGAAAGTCAACATAAAAAGCCCCTACAGTATGCTCATTATTAGCCAGATCACTGAATCAAACACATCTCAGATCTGTGTCTTTCGCAATTCAAGCCACAGCTTAGGGCCTAGCTTAGGCCTCGGCCTACAGTACTCCGTTTTCTTCTCTCATCATGCTTCTCAAGTTATAGTACGTAAGGTTTTGGAAATTGAAATTCAAAATGGTAGCCAAATAATACTCATTCCTTTGTTGCCCAGAATTTGTGATAGGTTCTATTGTTTATGACCCAAAAATGCCTGGCTACAAGCTAGGCCTAGCCCTACCCAAAAATACAGACACCACAAAGGTCCAAGCACCGACATTTTGATATGCCAAAATGAGGTGCATCCTATCATAATTTGCTGTCTTCAAATGTCACAAAAATGGATGTACGAATTCAAACATACATTTATTTTTTACACTTACTGTAAAATGTAAAAAAAAAAAACCAAGATCTTACAAGCAATCCAAAATTTTCATACGCATTTTTCACTTGTAGTGAGCAAGATATGCATGTTGTCCACACATTTTTAGCGGATAGCAACCGGCATATGACATCATAAATGATGATGTATCTGTCTCACTAACCGTATGCATTCGTGTGCGAAACCTCCCTAGTTCTATTGATGAAGAAATTGATGTTAATCATATTTGTACGCTATTATTATTTTCAACAATTGTATAAACCTTACCAAATCTTTAATCGCTTGTGAGATATTATGCAATATTTCTTCATCACTGTCTTGAAATGAGTACTGCGTTGATCTCATCCGATCACCTTAGTAAAGAAAAGGAAAGTATGAGAAATTTCATTTTAAAAAATCTGAATATTTACTATCAACTCTTTATACTTTTATATAATAAATTGCCACTAGTAAATGGTGCACAAATACTAGAATTATGTGGTTATGTGTGGTATAAACAATGTGTATAAACAATTATTATTAAAATTACAGTGGCAAAAGGGGGGGGGGGGGGGGGGGGGGGGGGGGGGGGGGGGGGTTGGATCTGGCCATTCCCCTCTAAATTTTGTCTAAAATAATATTCAAACATAAATCTGAGAGTGCTATTTCCGGTCATCTAGAGGTTCCATAATAATATTAAAAGTTTTCTTGACCCTCCATATAAAAGTCCTTCCCTTTCAAAGTGGTTTTTTTATTTTATTTTTTGGGCTTTACATAGTGATTTTGTGGGAGATTTATCTTAATCAATTCACAAAAGAATCAAGTGGATTGTTTATCCTGCTATTCCTCTGCCGTATAAAACAACAGACGTTTTATTGACTTCGGGTTCGATGGATTTGGTCGTGGAACGGGGTCCTAAACCATCCAACACCTTGGGAACTGCTGTAGACTTTTACATCAACCATATTATACCAGTGCTTATTGGAAGTCTATCCAGGGAATAATACCGTACCTACAGTAGCTTCATGCTTGTCAGGCAACAGGGGTATTGCCAGGATTTCCACGATGGGGGGGGGGAGCCTCAAGGTCCCCGTCGGGAGATCCGATGCCCTAGACAGGGGGGAAGATTTCCCCGACTAGAGCAAAGTGGGCGTGGTCGAACTTTGCTTAAATGTTACAAAAGTGGTCCAGGGTGAGAGGTCCCCGAAGATGTTGACAATAGAGGGGTTTCAAAGGCTTCTTTAATCGATTTTAGAGTCTACTAATATGTAGAAAATATATATAATATTTTTTTCTCCCCGATGAATTGTACTTTTTCTCCCTGACAGAGGTGGGGGGGGGGGCAGCCTTCATCGACGGGGGAACCCTGACCCCACTAGCCCTCCCCGCAGGCGCCACCCTTCCTAACATCAAAAGGGCATAGGCATAGCAAAATTTATACCCAATTCCTGCAGATGTTCAATAGTGCTCGCCACCTCTGGTGCCTTTGTGACTGCTGTCATGATGATGTATCTGGTGAGATAAAAAATATTAAACACAATAATATATAATATTTATGTGGAAATCACTTTCGTAACAGCGGCACACATCACAGTGATGGTGCATCAATACACTAAAAAAAATAAATAAAGAATAAATCATATGAATCAATGAACTTAAGAAAAAAAACAAAAAAAACTACAAGCCTGTAACATCGAAAGGGCATAGGCATAGCAAAATGAAAACTGTTATAATGTACATATGTTGTTTATAAGTACTTAATAAATAATAAATGGAAAATATAATGTATCAAGCATTAACAAGGACACGTTATGTTGTTGAAGAATATTAAAACGGATGCTGTTTATTATAATTTCATATATAAATAGACACAAAAAATGCTTTTTCCTACATCACATTCCCAGTCCAACAATTATCATTACATCAATTTAAAATCCTATTAACTTCCTTTCAGTATTCTGTTTCTACAGTTCTGTGATATAACCAGTTACATCACATGTCCTTGGCAAATTTACACGGCTCCATACATCTTTAATCACTAGGTTAAAGAAAACAACAAATGTTATAAGATGCATTCTTTTAAATATCCTTATCACTTATTTTCAACATTTAATCTACCTAAGTTGTCAATATCATGCATAACTCATAGCTAAGTGAGTGAAAATGATTAAAACATTTAAATCATTCTACCTGTGGATATGACAATACAAATATTCGAGTTCGATTTGTAGAATTTTGCGATGAAATAAAATATTACAGTAGTGTGTATTTTTATAATATTAGAATCCGAATGCTAGGCCTATATAATAATAATATTAAAGTTTAATTTTTACCATCATTTTTTTAGGGGCGGGGGGAGGTTTCAGCATTCCTCTTTTGGTTTCTGGACAAAATGGTAAAAAACCAAAACGGCAATGACCAAAACGACAATACACCAAAACAGCAATGATAAGTACCAAAACAGCATCAGACCAAAACGGCAATGTCAACTACCAAAACGGCAATAGGCATAGATCAAAAATCGATGCCAAGACTGAAGCGCAACCGGGCGCGGGCAGCAGTTTATAATTCTGTATACAATTGTTATTTTAAAGTGTTATCCATTATTATTATTATTAATTTTTCTTTCCTGTTTTTTACTTTCATGACATAAATTGTTTAGCCTCATATTATCTGTATTTTATCATCATGCAAGCAGGTCCGTTTATGGTACAACGACGACTTCGCCATCATCAAGTGCCGTGTACGTATTACTTATAATGGATCATTTTCTATTTATAATTATATATTAGCCATTATAGAATTATATATTATAAAATTATAGCCATTTTGCCAATTATCATACAGTATGTCATTCTGGAAATGTTGCCGTATTGGTTTATTGCCGTTCTAACTTATTGTTGTTGTGGTCTTACTGTTTTGATTTATTGCCCTTTTGGTCCATTGCCGTTCTGGTCTAAAAGTGTTGCTGTTTTGGTTTTTGGCCGTTTTGGTCATTGCCGTTTTGACTAATTGCCGTTTTGACTAATTGCCGTTTCGACCTGTTACCCCTCTTTTCTATGTGAAAACAATGTTATGCAAGTTAAAATTCATGTGAAACTGTTGAATACAGTATTTTGAATCAGTTTAACTGATTAAACTATTAGCAGCAAGGGGGCCGTTACCTAACATTTATGTATAATCAAGGGGGCCAGGAGACACTCAGACAAAAGAAAACTTAGCTGCTGTGTCAGTGTAAGATGTAGACTGTTGTTACCCTAATGGCGCACCATATATAATGCAGTTTATTAGGCATAGCACACTTGGCAGCTGAAATGAGCAGCGACCAAAATGATTGTAGACCTTTATTATTATTTACAGAAACAAAAAAAATCATTGGAAAATGTCAGAACGATGCTGGACATCGGAAGTAAAGCAGGGTGGAAAAGACCCAGACCTGCCAATGCACCCGATCCTGTCGGGTGTCACCTGATATTTAAACAAATCTCCAGTTCACCCGATCGAATGTAATTTTCACCTGATTTCACAGGCCACCCTACCTCCCCAAAAATACTCATACTCGATTTATGCATAATTTGATTGATTTGATCGTTATTATTCAATGTATTCGCCATCTGCTCGCATGGCGGTGCAACAAACAAGCAGCAATTTTCAATTCGAATGTCGCCACCAACGGCCATTGATTTGTAGTGATGTGACTTTTTTGCAACTTTTTGTTAATTCTGGAAACCTCCAGATTTTTTGGTAAATCTCCAGATATTTTTTAAGATTCTTAAAAAAATCTCCAGATTTTCATGACCTTTAAGCTTTAGCCTAATGGTTGGCAGGTCTGAAGACCCTAGGCCTACACCTTAGCCTAAGGGTTGGCAGGTCTGAAGACCCTAGGCCTACACCTTAGCCTAAGGGTTGGCAGGTCTGAAGACCCTAGCTAGCTCTAGGCCTACACGACACCTAAACAACAACGTAACAACCACAAACAGACCTGGGTCCTAGTAGTATTAGTAATGTATCTAGACCTATGCCTTCCTACCTAGCCTATCAGACCCACAATCACACCTAGACCTAGCCTAGTCCTTCCTTGCCTAGCCTAGCTAGGGCCTAGCCTGGTCCTGGACTCTCGGAGAAGGAGGTGTACCCCTGGGCCCTAGGCCTAGCTAGGGCATAGGCCTAGCCTAGTCGACTGGGCCCAAATATACCGCTAGGCTATACGCCTGGCCCTATGGTTAATTTCACATAAATAATGAAAATAAGGCAAGCATTTTGAAATAATTAGAGAATAGGAGAAAGGACATTTTCTAAATTACGTACAATAACTACTCATCCAATCACCAACTTGTCAAGCTTTTCAGTGCCTTGTTGTTATGGTCATAATAAACAGAGGGCGCTACCGTGTTAATTTTTTCTGATTTTTGTCTTTTTGTTTATCAAAGACCTGTTGTATTATGTACGGTACGTTTTGTCCAGTGGTATATTTGGGTAACTGTATGTAATTATTTACTGTACCAGTGGCGGCTACAAGAGGGCCGAGCCGCCCCCTCCCCTAAATTAAACAAAAATTCATTTAAAAAATAGAAAAAATATAAAAATATTAATCAACACACACCTCCCCCTCCCTTTCTCCACTAAATTTTAGGAACATATTATTTAAAACATGGAGAAAAAGAAAATATTAATCAATTACGACAGGCATATGCTACCTATTGAATTATCATAAAGGAAACAAAACAAGAATAATATAAAAATCATTAATTTTACGGCAATGAGGATTTATAATCAATTAAATAATTAAATATCCTATTGGCTTTTGCTTTAGTTAGAATAAAACGGTTAACTCAGGCAACGCAAAATCGGCTCCCCGGGACCGGACATAGGTTTTCTTTTGTTATTATTATCATTATTATTATTATTTTTTTACTTTTTCTTTTCTTTTTTTTTTCTGTTTTTGGAGGGGTGTGGTGGGGGGGGGGGGGAAGCTAATTTTAACTCAAAACCAATCCACGCTGTACAACAGATTGTTTACCTTTTATTTCTTTCTAGGACAGAATGGTCATATAAGCATGAGCATCAATCGTACTGATTCTTGCTTCTGTTGGAAGTCTGTTAATTTTTATCTTTAGCTTGACTCATCCCATCATTCCTCCAACCGGGTTAACTTTTACACCCTACAAGTGAGACGACAGCTAATTGTCTACAGCCCCACCCGCTCCCTCCCCTATGGGGTAGTAGATAGGGCTGCGGACACACAAAAAACAGTACTAAGACACCCAGCACCCAGCCAAAACTTGCAAATTACTGGTTTTTAACTTACAAATCTACTCAGATATATATATATATAATATATCATTTATCAATTCCCGATCCAAAAAAACCCACTTCCGGGCTTCACCAACAAACTGAAATTTAGTCCGAAACAATGTAAGAGTAACTATGGAGACTCAAAAGAATTCGAATCATAGTAACAGTAACAGAAATTGCAAATAGGCCTATTTAAATTTTTAAAATGCTAAATAAATAAATAAATTAAATAAGTCTTAGTGCATTTTTGGGGAAAATAAGGAGTGGGTGAGTACTATGGTACAGTAGGGGAAACTACCAGGAGTCTCAACACTCACTTTAGTATTCACCAATTAGAACCAAGTGTAAACTAAGGATGTAACAACGCTATTCCTGAAAATAACGTAAC